TGTGTATGTTGTGTGCGTGTGTGTGTGTGTGTGTGTGTGTGTGAGTGTGTGTGTGTAAATGACTACAACAATTTCTTTCGTACAAATTGATAATCTATCTATCTGTTTGACTTTCGTTTTCTTAGATAAGTTTGATGACGAATTCATAGTGCCAGGAGTGATCTCCAATAATTGTTTGTGTGGGTTTGTCATAAGGTAGGAGCTGTCCGGATGGGGTGCAACTTATTTGGGGTGCAATTTCTCCATTTTTGTTTGTTCTTTTATCTGTCGTTTCATCACTCACTTACTCACTCACTCACTCCCTCACTCACTCCCTCACTCACTCACTCACTCCCTCACATCCTCCCAAAGTGGTTTGGCTAATTTTTGAAAAAATATTAGGAGTTATGCAGGTATAATTTTAAATTTTGGAAATTTTTTTTGGTGATTTTTTAGCCCACCTCTTCCTGCCCTGATTTGTCACAAGTTTTTGAACCCCTTTGTATATTAAAAAAAACAACACCAAATAATAATTCAAATAAAACGGAAATAATTACAGCAGTGTTGCGTCAGCAAAGAACAAAAAATTGCCGGATTATATTTGTTTATTTTATTGCAATCTAGGCTGCGGTAGCCATAGTGATTTGCAAACAAAGAACAAATCAATATTCCAACAAACAAACAAACAAACAACACAAACAAACAGCACAAACAAACATGCAGATAAACAAACAAACAGGCAGATAAACAGACAAACAAGCAGACAGACAAACAGACAGACATTATTAGAAATTATGAAATCTCGAATGTTCTCATTTTTCAAGGCTTGGCTTAAAGTTGGGAGAGAGCCTTCCCCCAACCCACCAGCATGATTTGATTTTAGGCTTATCTGTAGAATGTAAACCACACACACACATATGTAGAAGAGACACGCCTTGTCAATTTCTGGTTTTATTTAATAATTAGAGCTGGTTAGCACACAGCATGTGGTCGTGTTTGATTTCATGCATGTTTGCATTCGGTGAGTTTTATTGAGGAAGTTAAAAAAATTATTTGGAATATTTTAAATGTTTCCCATAAAATAGAGAATGAGAGAAAGAAGAAAGGGTGAGTGAGTGAGTGAAAGAGTGAGTGAGTGAATGCGTGAATGAGTGAGTGAGTGATTAAACGACAGATAAAAGAACAATCGAATGAATGAATCATTTTCGGTGTATGCGTGTATAAGTACCATAGTTAGTTCAGCCATCGTTTTGTTAATGATATAAGAAGATTAGCCAGGCAAATAGCTTCATAACTTCATGACAGTTCTGTCTGAAGCTTAAGACATATTTGTTAAGTTATATTGAATTCAAACAAATTATTCAATTTAATATTAAATAATTAAATTTAAATATAAATAATTTATTCAACTAAATTAAATTGTAAATCTTTTTAATTGGATTTTTAGTTTTTGATTCGCTGGTTATTTAGATTTAAATTTAAAAATGTTTGGAGTTCAAATTAATTTCCTTGTTTTCTTCGGCTTGCTGGCCACTCAAGAAGTCGACAGTGCTGAATATAAGGAGCATGTTAGTAGCTGTTTGGTTGTTTTTTTTAGTTGTAGTAGTAGTAGCAGCAGCAGCAGTAGTAGTAGTAGTAGTAGAAATGAAGAAATGGCTAAATGGTAGATGAATGGAAGAATAGATAGGCAACATGAATAGATAGATGGGTGGATAGATGAATGAATGAATGAATGAGTGAGTGATTGAGTGGGTGGGTGGGTGGGTGAGTGAGTGAGTGAGTGAGTGAGTGAGTGAGTGAGTGAGTGAGTGCGTGAGTGAGTGAGAGAGTGAATGAAAGAACGAACGAACAAACGAACGAACGAGTGAATGAACGAACGAACAAACGAACGAATGAACGAACGAACAAATGAACGAATGAACGAATGACTAAAAAAAAGAAATTATGGTCAGACAATACTTATTAGTTGCTGAACATTTTTTTTAAAACATGGAACATGTCTGTATAAGAGGGCATACTGGAGGAATTTCTGTCATGGCCATTCAAATGGAACTTTGTTTCGCTCTGCTTCCAAACAAAGAAATTCGCTTAAAATGTTTCTGCCATTTTTCATAACGTTAAACAACGAAACACAAAACATTCACACTCATACACTCACATTAACTAGTTTCACCTCTACATTTTACCTTCAAAAGAGTTAAGAGAATGAATTAATAAATAGATAAACTAATTGATAAAACGAATTAGCTCATAAATTAACTAAATCTTTAATGAATCAATTTAAATTTTTAAATTAACTTTTCATACTTTTCCAAAATTTCAGCCGAGGGAGAAGAGGGCCTTGAAGATCGGCGTGACTGCAGCGGAGAGGGTGCAGTTCCTGAATGCCCACAACGGCCACAGAAGGAGTGTCTCACCCACGGCTTCCAACATGCGAAAAATGGTGAAATTGATTTTCTGCTATAAAATAATATTAAATGAATAGTTAAACCTGAGAAATGAAATAAATATCCACATGGGAATGTTTTGAAGGAAAGAGGACAGAATTAACCTCAATCGTTCATCATACTCCACAGAGGATGGCCTTCCTTAAGTGACGGATTGGGACTAATTTTACTAATTGGGACTAATTGATTCTGACTATATAGAGCTTTCATGTTTCATGTGTTATAGTTCAATTCCTATTTGAACTCTTTGTGAATAACTTTACAAGATTCTTGTGTAGTGTAGAAAGATTTCTCAAGCATATGGTTCAATCACAATAGTATAATGATAATAAATAATAATTGTTATTATTATTATTTTTTTAGTAATTAATAATTATGATGAATAAGTAATGATAATAAAAGTACTACAGTTCGGAGCTTGAGAAATCGGCACAGGAATGGTCCAACACTTGCCAATACAAACATGGAAACCCCGACTGGATAATAAAGAAGTGAGATGTATTTGTGATTGGTGCTCTATGTATGTATGTATATATGAACCCATAATTGATTTGAACTATAGGGAAGTAATAATCATATCCGGGTTCAGCTTTAATCTATGTTAAACGTTTCGCACAGACAGGTATTATGTATGTATATATGTGTGTATGTATGTGTGTGTGTGTGTGTGTGTGTGTGTGTGTGTGTGTGTGTGTGTGTGTGTGTGTGTGTGTGTGTGTGTGTGCGTGTATATATGTATGTATTATTTTTATGTTCGTGTGTTGGTGTAAATATTTTTGTCTTTGATGTTTTTGTGTTTGTTTAAAGGTTTTTTCTTTGTTTATCCATTTATTTGTATATATTTGTTTTAATAGTTTGTTTATTCGATTGTTTTTTTTGTCTGCATGTCAGCATTTTTTTGTTTGCATGTTTATTTGTTTGTTTGTGTGTATAAATATACATTGTTTGTGTCGAGACGATTTACTTACACAGCATAGCCTACTCGTACCTACTACGCATTATTTCGAATTTTAAAAATTTTCGTTTGAAATTTCCTCTTTCAAAATAGACAAATCTTTCATTTCATAAAATTAAAAAATTTTATCGTCACGATATAAAATGTTACCTTGATAAAAGCTGATTTAATTTCGTGATTATAATCCTAAGAGTGTTTTTTTTTATTCCGCTATTATTGAGAAACTATCTTCTTGGCTGATTTTATGAAAAGGTTTTAACAATCCCCTAAATTATTATTATTTATTTATTTATTTTATAAAGCGCTAATTAAAATCACAAAAATAATGCATTAAACGCTCCCAACACATGGCCTTAAGTTACTCCCGACAAAGCTATCTCAATAGCTGAAATTTCATCTTGAATATTCAACATAATAATCAAAATAATAACAATAATTAACATAATAATAATCATAATAACATATTTAATTGGCTATGAAAATATGAATGATAGTAATTAATTAAACTATAAAAATATTATATATTATAATTTATTGATCAAAAACATTGTTCGCCTCGCCAGGTACACATACGTCGGACAGAACATTTGGAAAGGGACGGCTGGTGATAATTCTTTTTTTCACTTTATTAATAAAAAGAAGTTAAATTATTCATTAATTTAATTAATAAATTAATTAATCAATCAATCAATCAATTAGCTTATAAAGCGTTATTTCCGCGATGTTCAACAGCGCTCCTCAATGAATTTTCAAAACAGATGGGTCTTGAGATCCGCTCTGAACTTTGCAAGTGATGGAGAAGTAGTCAGAGAAGGAGGTAGAGAGTTCCAGAGAAAAGGGCCAGAAGAAGCAAAAGCAGATTTAGCAAAAGGGTGTTTAACACGAATTAGGAAGAAGTGAGAACAAGAAGATGATTTTAAAACGGGGCGTTTAGGTTCAAATAAGAGTATAGAGTCAGGAAGACCATATTGGAGCGAGTTACAATAATCAATCCTAGATAAGACTAACGAAGTAACAAGAAGGAGAAGAGTAGGATCGTCAAGAAAAGGCAAAAGTTTTTTTTATTCTACGTAGATGAAAGTAAGATCTTTAAGCAACACTATTAATCTGAGAAGAAAGAGACATGCCAGAATCAAAGATAAAGCCTAAACTACGAAATTTGTGAGAAACATCAAAAGTTTTCGAATCAGGTAAGTTAATATAAGGAATAGCAATGTAAAATGTTTAGATTTATTAAAACAAATTAATTTAAAATTGAAAGGAATAAGTTTAAAACACATAGAGTTAGACCAAGCGCTAATTGAAAAAAGACATAAAAATAGATTATGAAGAACGTTTTTTTTAAAAAGTTGTGCCGAAGTAATCAAATTATTTTAAAAAAATATTTAAAATTTATTGTGGACGTTAACATAAAGATTTTTTTATAACAATAGTTCTGTTTAATTAAGGTTGTTAAAAAAATTCTGCTACTTTAGCAAATCTTCATTATTAAGTACGTAAATGAGTCTTTATAGTTCTGTAATGTATAATTAATTTAAAAAGTAATATCATTAATTCAAGAGAAGATTGAAATGAAATTAAATTGAAACTTAAACTAAGGTGCTTACACTGTTCAAGACATGGTTAATTTGTGGAATGCTGAAAAGGTGGATTACAATCTGGCTTCAAACTCTTGCAATGCTAATAAAGTGTGCGGACATTATACTCAGGTAGCTAATTTTTAAGTTGGAGTTTTACGTAAGACGAGAAATCTAACTATTTTAATTCCTAGCGTTTTCTATTAATTGGAAGAGTTATAAAAAGGCCTTTTTTGATCCTTCCAACATTAGAAAATCATTCATTAGCTGATTTTATTTCTAGGAAGTCTGGGCCAGCAGTTACAAAGTCGGTTGCGGTATGACTCAATGTGCAAATCTGGAAAACCTCCTAATAACAGTCTGCAACTATTTAGATGTGTTAGTGTAGAGAACATTTTGTTGTAATAATGTTATACCCCGTCGTGTTATAACTCAGGATTAGTATTTAATCATGTCGCGTTTGTAATATATAATCTGCTGTGTTTTGGTTGGTGAAATGGCTCGATGGTCAAGTCGCCTGGTCATACAAAAGATTACCCAAACAACAACAACAACAACAACAACAATAATAATAATAATAATAGTGAAAATAATTGATATAAACAACAGAGGGAATTTCAATAACTTGCCCCCATACACCTCGGGTGCTTCTTGTTCTGCTTGTCCCTCGGCCGCCCCAACTTGTGAAGAAGGCTTATGTGGTTCGTTCATTTCTAATTTGTTACTGAGTTTTTTCCCAAGTTTTATTTTGGGTTTTGAGGTTTTACTTTCGTTTTGGCAATCTCTTTACACGTTTATTTTATTCCATACAACGGTCGATAACTGTTAAGTGCATGTTAGTTGCGTGTAGTTATATAATGACGCAAATGCTGCCAAACAAACTCGGAATTAGGGTGAAGCAAAGAGGACAAGTGCCACGGGAGACAAGTTTCATGGGAAGAGGGCAAAATTGAAAAAGTGCATTGAAATGTAATTAAACAACGGCCTAGGGTAGTGTAATAACAATGGTTTGGTGGGAGGAGGGGGCGGAAAACTCACCTTGAATAGTCTTCTAGTTCCAGCCCTGCTGCCAGATCAATGTTAAAGTTCACGGTCTGGGGGCGTCTACTGAGAAGGCAATTGCCACCACTTTAAGTTACAGTGAAGATTTTGATGTTAGAAAACTTGTTGGGACTATTTTAATTTGTTGGCTATCTAAAAAACAAAGAGCATTTGTTACCAAAAACGTTAACAAATCATTTTTTCATTTTAAGTAGAAAATTTAATTTAACTAGATCATTGAATCAAGGTGGGTTTTCACCTCCAGCGTTCAAGAAGTAAATGACGCGCCTGTTTAGTTTAAAGTTCACTTTTGATGCAAAAATTTTGTGATATTTTATTTTCACCTAAATTTTTATTTTTATACTTAAAATGTTTTCAACGTTGCCAGCCATCACGAACAACGTCTGCTCCGTAGTCGAACCTGACTGCAATATCACCGATACGACCAACTGCCTCTGTGGTAAGCTATTTTGACTTTTTTGAAAATTCGATCATATTATTTTTCATCAAAATAATTTGCAATTTACGTAAACATGCTTGGATGTTGCCAAGCTTTGTGCAGTGGTGCATAAAAATGAGGATGTAGAAGTACTGCCAACTAATCTTTAAAATGAAACTTCACCAATGGGCGGAGGACTGGCAGATGAAATTCACACGGAACAAGCAAAATATATTATAACTTGGAGACAGACCTCTAAAGATTTCATCGGAGGAAAGGGACCTTGGAATAATTGTAGAGAAAAGTGGGGAATCTACCAGGTAGTGCATTACAGCAGCAAAAAGAGCAAACAATACGCATGGCTTGGTAAAAAGGACGATTGTTGGGAACAAAATTGTTTACAGAAAGTAGAAACACAAAAGGGCAAGCTTTTCAAAGAAAAGGTTGGAACAATAATTGGCAGATTTTTTAATTCGAGAGTTATTGAAAACTGGAATAAGCTGGACCGAAAAAACTGTAACAGCTCCTACAACAAAGAAGTTCAAAGTCAGACATGGAAGATTGGGATTTTAATTCCATATTATTAGTCGAAATCGATCCAGCGGTTTTCACACAGCAATTACCAAAGAAATTAATAATTATTAAAGAAATAAAAAGTTACGTAAATGGTTTTCAGCTTTTTAAATGTTCTATTCAATTTAAAAGCTTCGTAATATCTTTACGGATAATTAATTAATAGTAGAGTCGACGAGTTAGCACAGTCTTTTGAGCTGCCACGTTTCGCGACATTATTGAGGACTGACCTGGTTCGAATGTTGTCTGCCTGGAATTCAAATTCTATCATATGCTCTTATAATAAATATAATTATGATAAAAAATAATTATTTTTGGTAATAATTATCACCAATACATAATTATATTCATTATAATTATAATATAAATTATTGTTGGTTATAGATAACTCGGCATACACGCTGTCCGGGTCAAACCTAGGTAGTGGGGCCCAATCACAAACCATCCACTTGCCAACGATTCTGCTTGCTACTAAAATTGCCATCACCATCGTCTTGCCTTATGCTTTCTGTTTGATGGTGTTTACAATTTAAACATCTTATTTTAAAATTCTAAATACGTGCTAGATCTTTGGTTGGTGTTTGATGGAATTTGAGCTTAATTTAATAAAATAATTCTGTTGAAATTCTAAAAAAACTTTTTATCATTTGAATCATTTTTGAATGTTTTAATTTAATGAATTAAATATTAATGTTGACGTTTAATAACATTTTTTCTCATTCCTTTTATGTTTTCCAATTTCATTTTTTACTAACATATAAACACCACACACACACACACACACACACACACACACACACACACACACACACACACACACACACACACAAGAGACCACACACACACACACACAAGAAACAAAAACACACACAATTTTTTATAAGCTTTTTTAACATAGCGCCTTGCAGTTTTTCGATGTTGTTGAATTTTCTTTTAAAACTCACATTTCCCATATTTTATTCAATTTTACATTGCAAACTGTCTAAATTTTTAAATTTATATTTAAAATTTTTTTATTTTGAATAAATGTTTTTCATATTAAAAAGTTCCGTGCCTGTGTATAAAACAAGATTTAATTAAAATGAAAAAAACTAATAGTTTAGCACGAAAATAGCGGAGTTAAATGTCTTCTATTGATTCATTAGTGAATAGATGTGAAATTTAAAACTAAGTATACATTATATAATAACTTGAAACCATCCAATAGCATCTTAAATATCCTCACCTCTCAAGTTTGTAGTTGTTGTTGTTGAAGTGTTTATTTTGTGTCGTTTTGTGGTGGTCCCTGGACGGTCCCCTCCATACCTACCTACCTACCCACCTACCTACCTACCTACCTACCTACCTACCTACCTACCTACCTACTTACCCTACCTACCTACCTACCTACCTACCTACTTACCTACCTACCTACCTACCTACTCTTTGGCAAATCCAGCTCTGTACTGAAATGAGCATTTCTGAGTTTGAGATACGCAGCCAAGTAGAAAACACTTCAAAGTCCTCTAATGTTATTGAATAGCAGGGAATTTGTTGGCTGGTCATCCTCTCTACACTCGTTTTTATAGAGCTTTCGAAAATGCATTTTGATGTTTGCAAAGATGCATTTTGATGTTTACAGAGATGCATTTTGATGTTTGCGAAGATGCATTTTGATGTTTGCGAAGATGCATTTTGATGTTTACAGAGATGCATTTTGATGTTTAACGGATTAACCGATTAAAATAATAATAAAACATGTTTAATTATGAATCTATCCAGGAAGTTTTTGTGTTTCTGTATGTGCTGTTGTGTTTTTTTAGTGTTGTTGTATTTTGATATATATATATATATATATATATATATATATATATGTGTGTGTGTGTGTGTGTGTGTGTGCGTATGTGTAGTTATATATATATATATATATATATGATATACTGTACATATATGAATGTGTATGTGAGTGTCTGTCTGTGTGTGTTTTCTTTTATGCCTACGTGTGTATGTGTGTGTAACGTTTTGTCTATGCATACGGAAGTGTATGTTGTTTTATACATGTGTGTGTGTGTGTGTGCGTGTGCGCGCGCGCGTAAGTTCGTGTATGTATGTGTGAATGTACGTATGTATAAGTTTGAGTTGGATGTTTACGCAATGGAGATAGTTTCGTTGTGTGCAATATAAAAATTTGTATTCATTTTTACTTTCATTCGTCATTAGCCTGATTTGTTGACTGGCTGCTTGTATCAATATTTGGTGCATGTTAGTGTATAATAAATCATATATGAATGTCTGCAAGCGAGTAACAAGCACAACTGCGTAAACAAAAATAAACAAATAAAGCTACATGAACAAGCACAAACAAACACAACTAGAGTGAATAAACACAAACAAACAAGACTAGAGTGAACAAACACAAACAAATAAAAAATTCATGAACAAAAACAAACAAGCACAACTAGAGTGAACAAACACAAACAAACACAATTAGAGTGAACAAACACAAACACAACTACATGAACAAACACAACTTCACAGACAAAAGCACAACTGCACAGTCAAAAATCACAACAACACGGACGTATGTATGTTTATATAAACGTGTCTGTCTATAAAGTCATCTATGTGTGTGTGTGCTAGTATTGCATGTGTGTGTAAGTTTGCTTGCTTGTGGGTAAGTTTGTTTGTTTGTTTGTCTGTTTGTTTGTGTGCGCGCGCGTGTGTGTGTGTGTTTGATACTATCTCAATAAATCAGACCACAAACAGAAAGAAAGAGAGAGAGATATAAACTTCTCTCCGAATGACGACGATTTCACTTTCACTTTCACAGTTTTACTTATAGTTTTTATATTTTTATAACTTTGAATTGCAGTTGTAGTCGCTACTACAGTTACTACAACAGTTACTAATGACACTGGTGATCACAATAGGTTAATATACTAACTATATTATACACAGTACTACACAATACTAACAATAAATCAACTACTGCTACAACTAACAACAACAACAGCAACGTTAAAATATACATAATACATATTATACTTTTATTGAATACAGACACATGCAGACAAACACACATGCACTCTCTTTCTTTCTCTCTCTCATACGTATAAACAAACAAACAAACACACACACACGTACACACACGCACAAACAAACAATCACACACATATATTGTTTGTTGCCCAGTACAGCGTCAAGGCATCCCAATGTCATTTTTGGCAATTAATCAGCAAGCCTTTAACATGTTATGATATGTCGAAACTGATTTTTATCTCTTTCTTGTTTTACTACCACTAATACAACTACTATTACTACTACCAATAATAATAATAATAATAATACAACAACAATTACTACTATTACTACTACTACTACTACTACTACTACTACTTCTACTACTACTACTACTACTACTACTTCTACTACTACTACTACTACTACTACTACTACTACTACTACTACTACTACTACTACTAATACAGACACACACACAAACACACATACTCTCTCTCACTCATACGCACAAGCAAACAATCACACACACACACACACACACACACATACACACACACACACACGCATTGTTTGTCGCCCAAAGTTTAGCGTCAATGAATCCCAATGTCATTTTTGGTAATTAATCAGCAAACCTTGAACATGTTATGACATGTCGATACTGATCCTAATTTTTACTTTCTACAACAACTACTACTATTACTACTTTTACTACTGCTGCTGCTGCTACCACTACTACTACTTTTACTACTACTACTACTATTACTATTACTACTACCACCACTACTACTACTACCACTACTACTACTGCCACCACTACTACTACCACCACTACTGCTACTACCACCACCACTACTCCCACTATTACTACTACTACTACTGCAATTATCTTCATCTTTGTGGTCGCCGTCATCTCCAATGAAATTATTTGTAATTAGTAATTATTAATACTTAGACATATACGTATTTGTACCGTATTTATTTTCCTGTGTTTGATTTGCAACATACAACACGCACACATACAACACACACGCACACATAAACACACAAAAACACACACAAACACATACATATGTGTTTGTGTGTGCTTTCTTCGGTGTCTCTAAATCATTTCATTGTAATTCCTCATTGAATCAAAATGACTAAGCTAGATCGACAACAAGCACAGAGTTGACATTGTAACGTTGATACACGCACACAGCATCACACGCACACGCACGCACGCACACACAAACACACACAAACAAACACACAAACAAACACACAAACATACACATATGTATACACATTTGTGACCTTCGTCTTGTATATAAAATAAGCCACTTAGACAGCATTTCTGCCATAATTTCACGACAGTTTTGCGTGCAGTTTAAAAAACTTTTTATCATTCAATTTAAAAAAAATACTTTATTTATTAATAAAACTAAAATAAATTAGGAATAATTTAGCTTGTATTATTAAAAAAAAATCTATTTTTAAATTAAATAATATCATCTTTTAATCAAACAATTGTACAGTTAAGATGTTGAGAAGTTTTAGAATTATTTCTGCTCTTGTACTCATTGCCTTGGTGACCATTCCGAATCTTGGCAGGGCAGAAGGAAAATATATGAAGCATGTTAGTAGTCGTTTTGTCATTATTATTATTATTATTATTATTATTATTATTAATAGTAGTAGTACTAGTAGTAGTAGAAGTAGTAGTAGTAGTAGTAGTAGTGGTAGCAGTAAGAAGTTGCAGAAATGCTTTGGCAATTATCAGTAGCGTAGATAGTTTTAATGAACTAATATAATATTACCACTACTACTACTACTGCTACCACTACCACTACTACTACTACTGTTACTACTACTACTACTACTACTACTACTGCTGCTGCTGCTGCTGCTACTGCTGCTACTGCTACTACTGCTGCTACATTTTAATTAGAACATATGTGAGCTCAAATAAGGTTGCTTCATTGTAATTTGGCTTCTTAGCATCCTATATGACTAATTAGTCATAGCAATTAAAGAAAAAAAACTATCAATAATTGATCACATTATAGCATGTTGGCACATACAAACATGCATACATACATACAAAAAACAAACAAACAAACAAACATAAATCCATACACGCATTCACACATAAAAAAAACACACAAACACAGAACGTACGTAGATAGGAAGTGACAAAAAATTATTCCCACATGAATAATGCCATTTATAAATATAGTAAAACATTACATTCAGCAGTAGTAGCACAGGTAGTAGTAGTAGCACCAGTAATAGTAGTAGCTGCAGTAGCAGTTGTGGCAGCAGCAGTAGTAGCAGCAGCAGCAGTTGAGGTAGTAGTAGCAGCATTAGTAGGCCATAATAGCCCAAAAACCTCATTAATATGTATAGCAGAGTTTTACATTGTAGCCAATATTATCATAATAATGTCGTTTAATTGCATTTGAGGACATTGCAGTTTTTAGACTATTTGCCGGTTAAAAGATATTTTAAATAAATTTATATATATATATATATATATATATAAATGAGTGATGTTGATGATGATGATGTGAATAATTCTGACTCTAGCGATGATGATGATGATGATGAAATATAACGATGATGATGATGATGATGATGATGATGATGATGATGATGATGATGATGATGATGAAATGTAACGATGATGATGATGATGATATAGTGGTCTTAGGCTTATGATGACAGTGATGATGATGTTGACGTAGATGATGACGATGATGATTTTTATTATTATTTATTATCACTTTTATAATAATAATAATAATTATATTTTTTTATTATTATTATTATTTGGTATTTTCTACCAAAATAGAAGTAGTAGTGGTAATAAAACCAGCAGCAGTAGTAGTAAAAAAAGTAGTAGTAGTAGTAGCAGCAGCAGCAGCAGCAGTAGTAGTGGTAGTAGTTGTAGTGAGTAAAAACAAGATCAGTGTTGACATATCATATCATGTTCAAGGTTTACTGACTAATTACCAAAAAATGCCATTGGGACGAACAACATGTTTGTGTGTGTGTGCGTGTGCGTGCGTGCGTGTGTGTGCGTGCGTATGTGCGCGTGTGTGTGTTTTTGTTTATGTGTTTTCACGTAACTGTAAATTATTTACTATATATTACACATGATCAAGGTTTTCTGATTACTAAAATGTCCAAAATGGCATTGGAACACATTATGACGCTAAAATCTGGGCGACAAACAATGCGTGTGTGTGTGTGTTTGTTTGTGTGTGTGTGTTTATATTATATATATATATATTTATATATATATATTATATATATATATTGTGTTAGTAGTAGAAAAATAGTTGTAGTGAAAGATTTAGTGCCAGTATTTTTCCTATTGTGATCGAACGGCTCGGACTATTGTTATAATTAATAAAACGAAAAATAATAATAATCATTATTATTGTTGTTATTATTATAGCTATAATAATAATAATAATAATAACAATAATAATAATAATGATTTGTTATCAAAATAATAATAATAATAATAGCATAATAACAATAATATTTTGTCATCCAAATATCAAGTTAGGATTTACAAATCGAATCGAATCAAATCAAATCAAACTCAATGAAATTTGATAAAAGTTGGATGATAATAATAATAATAACAATAATGGGAGCTAATAATATAATAATAATAATAACAATAATAACAATAATAATAACAATAATAACAATAATAAAAAAAATAAAAATTATAAGTTTTGTCCTGGCCATTACGCAGTTAACCCGACAATGATTTAGCTAAGATTTAGCTATGCAATATAAAATGCCATTACACTTCTCCTATTGTTTGACGTATAGTGCTGTAACAAGGAGAAAAAAAAATGACTTGATGAGTGAATGAATAAAGGAATGAGTGAGTGAGTGAGTGTGTGAGTGAGTGAGTGAGTGAGTGAGTGAGTGAGTGAGTGAGTGAGTGAGTGAACGAGTGAACGAACGAACGAACGAACGAACAAACGAATGAATGAAGGACTTAATTAATTATTTAATTAATTAATGTATAAATGAATTAATGAATAACGATACGAATACCGTTAACTAAATTTCGGTTAAATAAATCAATTTGTTAATTTAGATATTTAAAATTTTACAAACATTTAAATAAATCAAGTTGAGAGAGAAGCGGAGGGACTTGAAAAACAGCGTAACGGCAGAAGAGAGGCTGGCCTTCCTGGTCGCGCACAACGGTCACAGAAATTCCACCACCCCACCCGCTTCTGACATGAGAAAAATGGTAAAATTGAAGTGTTTTTCATGTCAAATAATAATAAATGTCTAACTAGTAACTAGGTTAAGTGAATAAATTCAATTTGTAACCTATTAATAAATGGAAATAGATGAATAACCTTAAGATATTAGCAACAACCACTAAAACAACGATAGCAGTAATAATCAAATAATAATAACAATAAATAATAAATAATAATAATAAAAGTACTACAGTTCGGAGCTGGAAAAATCAGCACAGGAATGGTCGAACACTTGCCAGTTCAAACATGGCAATCCGAGCTGGATCACAATGAAGTGAGATGCTATTCTGTTTGGCTCTTCATCCATATTTCTTTTTCGTTTTTTTGGCTAGTCGTCTGTATTGATGTTTGATGACTGGTCAGTTGACTGTCTGTAGATGCTGCGTGTGGTTAGTCGGTGTACCAACAAGCTGAAAAAATGTTTGAACATAATTTTTTTACTTCAAAGAATTTTTAACCAGACTAACCATAAAATTATTGCATCATATATATCTGAATGTATCAGTAAAACATGAAGCAATCAAATAGTTTAGAAAATCAGTTTGTTTTTTGTTTTAAGATAGTCTCCGAAATTAAGTATCATGTCATGCACTTAAATCTTATGATACTCTATCTTACGGTTTATAAGATATATTATCTTCTTATCTGATAGGTATCTTTTGTTATACGTCGTACCATTAAGAACAGCAATTTGATACTTCGAAATTTAGAAAGTGTGTGTGTGTGTGGTGTGTGTGTATGTGTGTGTCTGTGTGTGTGTGTATATATATATATATATATATATATATATATATATATATATATATATATGTGTGTGTGTGTGTGTGTGTGTGTGTGTGTGTGTGTGTGTGTGTGTGTGTGTGTGTAAATAAGATTCTTAACCTTTTTAAAACGTTCATCTCCAGGTACATTAACGTAGGGCAGAACATATGGATGGGATCAGAAGGTAGTGGCCAAGCTATTTTTTATTTCTTTTTCTTTCTTGTTATTTTGTTTTAATAGTTTTATTTTAAAAAAAAAAGAATATTACTTATTAACCTCGTTATGCTAAGTTATTTAAAAATATTCTACATGAAATGACTCACGTGGTGTTGTTATAATTGTATGTGAAACAGGCAAAAAAATCGTCTAGGAATTTCTAATTCAATGTTTCGCTTCCACACTTACGTAAACTGCACACGTATCCAAGCGTTTGTAGAAATACTTTGTTGTGATGGCTAGAAAAAATAAAAAACGTTTTTAGGATTAGGATTAAATTATTAAAACTTGAAACTCAATAGGTTATTCCATCGAGTCAATGGTCGGGGCTTGGGCCGCCGAGAAATCCAGCTACACTTTCTCCACAAACGACTGTGCTACAGACGCAGAGTGTGGTCATTATACCCAAGTAATTTCTCGGATATTTTTTTTTCTTTTGGTAAAATAAGTCAATCTTGTTGTTTTATACGTGTGTGTGTGTGTGTGGTGTGTGTGTGTGTGTGTGTGTGTGTGCAGTTGCTTGTGCAGTTTAACGGCGTTTCAGCACATCTGGCTATCTTCATGCCCTTAGTACATTTTCTATAAATCAGTTTTGCTGTTATAAATCAAATTAAAAATTATACAAAAATACTTTATTTGAGCCGTTCCTATGTTACGTAAGAGGGAAAAACGAATGTAGAAATTTATGCTATACGCGTTAGTGCGTGACCTTATTCATAATGTTCAAGGTATTTCATCTAGTTTGGCATGTAAAGATAGGTCACTTGTGACGTTTTGTGCTTTACGAGTTTGTATGTACACAGTGTGTAATGATTGTTGATACTTTTAAAAATTACCAAAAAAGAAAGAATTCTAGAGAATATTTATACATTTATCACCCATCGATAAGGTTGTCTGGGCTAGTAGTTTCAAAGTTGGCTGTGGTATGACTCAGTGCGCAAATTATGGTGACAACATCATAACAGTTTGCAACTATCTAGAAGCGTTAGTATATAGTTTTTTTCAACTGACATTTTCTAATGGTAATATGATGCAACACATCCTCGTGTTATAATACATGATTCTATCATTTATTATGCTACAATGGATGTAACTGTCTTTTGGATGGTCGAGTGGTTAAGGCGCCAGGTCTTATTGATATAGCGACTGGATTTGAGCGCAAAGAATACCAGTAAAGCAACAACAACAGCTATTATAATAATCATTGTTATTATGGTTGTAATTTCAATAATAATAATAATAATTGAAACCACAGAGGGAACTACGTTGGTGAAAAACCATACAGTCAGGGTACTGCCTGCAGTGGCTGTCCCACAACCGCCCCCACCTGTTCCAGCAACTTATGTGGTAGGTCCTTTTTTTTGAATAAGCTTGTTATGATTCCAAGTTTTTATTTAGGTTTTGAGGTTTCATTTTCGTTTCGATGTTTTTGCATGGAAATCCCGACTAAATTTGCTCCACCACATCTTTCTAACTTAGCGTTTGGCAACAGCATTACAGATTCATTTTATTTTATACAATAAACACTGAGGAATGTTTGGGGAGAATCAAATTAATAAATAATGACGCAAATGTTGCCTGGTCAACGTTAAGATTTTTGACCTATAGTTCAATTCTTATGATAAAGTTTCATAATACTTTACATTCGATCAAATTTTTCGCTTAATTTCTCATGGTTGTAATTTTTTCAACGAAGTGTAAAATTAATTTATAAAAATTTTATAATCTAAATTGGAATAATGATAAATCAAAAATACATTACCTGAAAATGCTTGAATGAAACATTTTTTGTAAACTTTAACAGCCATAAAGAACAACGACTGCTCCAAGGTTGAACCCAGCTGCACCATCACCGACGCAACCAACTGCCTCTGCGGTAGACACTTTTGATTTTTTTCATAATTCTTTTTCAATACACCTCATCAGAGTAAACAGCGCATGTCTGTTGCGCAACGCACAGACTGTGTTGCATGTGTTGCGCAACGGTCTCCCTGCAATCGAACCTTGTCACCGCAACACGAGACCAGGAGTCATTCGATTTAACTGATTTTAACATTTACGAAAGTTAAATACTGACAAGAAATCAACACTCACTTTACAACTATGAATGACTGGTGGTTATTTATATGAATATTTCTTCAACAGATAACTCGGCCTATATGCTGTCGAACACTACAACTGTTGATAATCCATTTTCCAGCTTGGACAATGGAGCGCGGTCAGAAACCCTCCTCTTTAAAATTTTACTCGGTGTGGAAATTGCCCTTGCTGTTATCTTGCCTTGGTGGATGTTATCTAGAGATTAACTTTTTTTTAATTATTCCTTCAGCAATTCTGAGATGTTTGTTTGTTCGTTTGTTTGTTTCCGTTTGGATGAATTTTAAGTTTTATTTTGCTCGAATGTTTTGTTTTAGTCGTTAAAATTTGTAAAAATGATTTTGTTGGGTGATCAACATGACAGTTTTTTCATATTCAAATCAACTTCATGTTCGTCTTCTTGCCTATTTATTCCATAATTTGATTCCAATCGTTGTGTGTATAGTATTTGTTGTTTTTCATTGTTCAGCTCTGCCAAACGCAACGCAGAGCTGCTTCCAAAAAGTCATTCTACACTTATAATTTAACTTTCATGTATGCCCTATCCAAGCAACACAACAAACTAACACATTATTAATGCACGTGCAAGCCCCGCATCAAACCCGTAAGATGGTTTTTAGGATTCGGACAGGCAGTATTCGAACCATACCACCGCCTAATACCATCGCGAGGCACGGCAGTTTTACTGACTGAGCTAGCTAACTCACTTACTAATTACTGATATTTTGTGTTGATTTTTTTCTTCCATTTGCATATTTCAATTTCACAAATTTGCAAATGCACACAATCTTTCTACGCATACATACCATTACAAACACACCCACACTCATACACACACATACAAAATCATACTCTGCACACTTACCTACACACACACATACACGCACACACACATACACACACAATTTTTACAACCATATATAAATTGGTGCTTTGACGTTCTCTCGTGTAAATAATTTTCTTTTTTCTTTTCAATTCAAATTTATTCACTCGAGGACCTTTTAAACTGCAAGTTGTTTAAATCATTGTAAAATTTAGAATTTTTCAATTTTAAATAAATCTTTTTCAAATTAAAAAGTTCTGCTTTTGTGCTTAAAACCAAATTGAATAAAGTGATGAATCGATGGATAAATGAATGAATGAATGAATGAATGAACGAACGAATGAATGAAGGAATAAATGATGAAACGACTGATTAAACAATTTTTTAAAGCTCTATAGCGAAAGTCGTAA